AGATGAAAAGATTCAAGTTGCTTTACCTTGTCCTACAGCTTGTATTTTTACAGAACAGAAATACGGCTTTTGAATTGGAGACATAAGCAATAGATAAACCTTGAAAGTCCATTTTCTCAAATCTTCTGGGGTTCAACTGCATATTTTTACATCTTTGAATAAATCAAATATATTGTAAACATGTACAGGTGACACGTTTTCTACTATCTCAATTTCTAGGGCTTTACACTTCATCAACAGGATTTCAGTACAGTTCATTACCCTTTTCAGTTGGTGTTCTGTTTATCCAGCTAAGAACTGTAGTAAACTTTACCAGAGGATTAGAGCAGTAACAGAATTATTCAGGCACTTAGAAATAAAATAAAAGCAAGCTGTGTCATTGAAGTTCACAGGACTAGAATAGCAATACCTTACCTGGAAAAACAAAACCTACGCAGTTAGAAAGGGTGAAGAAATGAGATGGATTCTCTTAAGACATGAACTATCCTTTTTCCCTCTCAAACTTTAGAAAGTGATACATGGAAAACAAAGTAGCACATCAACTGAAGGACTGATTTGTTAACTATCTTCAATTATTACTTCAACTAGTATCCCATCATTTAGTCATGGAAGCTTCCAGTCACCATGGTCATACTGAGGAAAATACAAAGATTTTTGTGAATATACATCACCATAAAATCCTCTTCCAGGATATCTTTTTGCTTTCTCCTTCTAATATTCTTAATGGTTTCTTCATCATAAGTTACAGGGGAGCAGAGGATTTTCTATCTGTAAAAAGGATGGTGCATCATTCGTTTTATACAGCTGTAACTTTTGTAGCTACAATATAAAAAAATAGCAATACCTATTAGTATAAGAATTTTATGAGAATATATAGGAACACATTTCCAGTGAGGCCACAGCATTCTCTACTAAGTACACCTTCTTGCATCATGTGTGTTGGATTAAGCATACAATTTATGTTATTGTTCAAAGAAATTACATTTCTAATCCACCAAATACAGGGCTGAAACACATGATGTATCAGGCACTCAAATCCCCACAGAGTACACACAGCTCTGATACAAATAGTTTATATGGCTTCACTTCTGCTTTAATTATTGTACTCCTTTTCAGAATGATGCACTGTGTGCACCGTGCCATGAAACTTTAGGACATTAGTCATCTGGTCCAGCATGCATTACTAGAATATTATAAGGTAGGGATGAAAAAGTATCTTTCTCCTATTCACGTGTTTCAGAGACTGTATACAAAACAAACATCAAAGTGTTTCCTTTAGGTTATTATTTATAGTTTATCTCTGAACAGGTTTGGTGGGGTTGGAAAGCACTGGCTGTGTATGAATTCAAACATGGCAGCCTATGACAATTGTTCAGTGTGAATTCCTCATTGTTGCATCCTTAGGAAGTCAGCTCTGTTCTGGAATGAAAGGGTACTAGAAGCCACAGTAACAAGATAAAATTGATTTTCTTTAAATATACACACTATATGCAGTATTTCTGTGAAGATTTTAATCTACCCATGTTGTCTGGTACAGCACACTGCACCTGCGAGTAGCTGCTTAAGAACTTAGAAGTACCTCCAAAACCCAGCTTCTAAACTTGCTTGCCTACTCACTGCCACTTCCTCCTGCTTTACAGCGAATCCAAAATCTGCTTTTGGAAAGGAGTGTTGTGTTACGTAATAAAGCAATCCACTAAGCTATTTAGAAAGGACAGATTAAAATTTTTGTAATACGCATACACAACAACCCCTAGCAATCTCTTGGTACTTGCTTCTTGAGATTTTCTTCTGCCACTTGTGAGGAAACCCACCCTAATTGCAGCCATCTAGAAACCTCTCTAATCTCTGTTAGTCATCCAGGCTCCATCTTTAATCAATAGAGAGATAGGCACCTTCAAAGACATTCAGATAGTGGGATGAATATCTCAGCAAGGAATTAATTGCCTGCAGAACTGCCTGTCTCCCTTCCCTTCCATCTCAGTTTATTTACAGAAGGAGCCTAGATGATGGATTTAGACCACATGCTTAACTTCCAGATTGTTTCAGTTGGATGAGATGTATCCCACCCTAAACATTTGACCTCTGAGAACATTTATTTCTGGCTATAAATAGGAGTACCTGTTATTTAAAATAATACCACATGAGAAGAAGTCATCTTAAATTAATTAAAATTAATTAAAATTCCTGTGACACCTCCAAAGCCTGAAAACATTTTCCTATGTTCCAGAAAAGCATCTCAACCAAACAAATGCAAAACTGAGGAAAGCTTGGATCCAACAAGGCCGGGAAGCTCATTTTCCTCCTCTTGTCTATGCATAAAAAACAAGTGGGGGAAGTTCAGACATGGCAGCTTTAAAAACTTGAAAATACCTTCATTTGCAAACCTGGCCATTAGATACTTAAAAAAACAACACAGAAGTTTTGTCAGGAGTGGTTGTGAAAAAGCTCATTAGTTGTTCAGACTCCCATCTGTACATCTGTATTGTTAGGAATCTGCTTCTCCTAGGGAGAATGTTGCACATGATCGCATAAAAGACCAGCCAGTTTATTAACTACAGTTAATTTACCTTTTTTAAAAGATAAATCTGCATTAACTACAAAACATACTTTGATCATTTTTCTATGTGTACCCTTTAATTTCAAGTGTATTCACAAAATAATAAGACGATAGGTGATACATTTCAGCAAATTTCAAATTCTAGCTAAACAAGATCTCAGCGTAAATCTCAAAAACAAATCACACTGTAAGTAATTCTTCATTTTTAATGATTACAAGTAAAATAAATGTCTCTTGAGCTACAGTGGCTTCAATATGCAGTTGTGTTGCTCTGGTGGTTTTGTTGTGGTTGGTCAGTTGGTTGGTTTTTATTTATTTTTTATTTTTTTGATACCAAGCAGACTGTAAAAATTATTTGCATAACATGTTTTAATATTTATAACAACAAATGAGCAAACCTTTTCCTTCAGAAAAAGGCCCACAGAATTAAAGTGCCTCTCACAAAGGCTGCGTATTGTGAAGCAAGTAACTTGGATTCTGTATCTCTGGACTTATCTGCTTCCACAGCTACTCCACATTCTTTTAACCTTATCTTCCAAGGCATTCCCCAAAACATGGCTGCTTTCATATAACCTCACTTATCTAAAACAGGCAAGTTACTTGTAGGTATCATTGGCCCCTTGGCCAAGCGTGGAAAGAAAAACAATGGTGCATGATTACAAGTAAACTTTTTCCTGTTTGCAGAAAGCAAACATAAAAGACATTTTAAGTTGGAATCAGAAGATTCAGCTGACAGTGGTTCTCAGAAAGGTCATTCTGTAAGAGAGATGGTCATTAATTTACCATGGTACAGGCCCAGTTTTAAGTCTTACGATTTGTGAAGACTGGTTAATTTTTCTTGTCATTTCTATGTGAAAATGGAGATGGGGACGGCTGGATTGGTAGTTGTTTGTTTGGTTTTTTTTCCAAGTGAAGTAGAAATCAGGAGTATGAAAAGCCTTTATATAAAGTATGGCCTATACCTTTTGAAGCCATTTCCTCCTAGTCCACATGATCCAGTCTGTCTGGTTGCAGCATTGGTTGAACCTGCACCTGCCAAAAGCAATGCGTCTTAAAAGCTGACACAGGCGTTATACCAGAGGGCATTATTCCAATGGAGACATTGCATGGAGGAGTGCCTGCCTTGCCAGTGGCAACTGTCTCTGCCATACTCTTCCAGTTTTTCATTTTGTCATCGCTCTTCATAAAGGAATGAAATGGTAATACTGGTAATGGTAATACGATGTTTTCACCTGTATCTTGTGAGTTTTTTATTATTATTATTATTATTATTATTCTGAGATTATGAGTGCCTAGATTATGAGCACCTTACAGCCTGTTTTATTTCATGTCAGCTTTGTTGCAGGATCATTCTGAGTAGCTCAGAAAGTTACGATGTCAGAAGTATCATAGTCTTACATATTTCTAAAGACTTATAAGAGGTAGAATCATAATTTGCAGATAATGATGGTATTGTCAGCTGGAAGCACTCTAAATAATACTTGGAAAACAATTTTAAATTGATAGAGTATTATCTGGTGATGTCAGAAGGATTTTTTGGTAGGACCAATTTCTTAAGAGGAACAGCAGCTTTGACTGTCACAAAGATCATCCCTGCAGCTGCACTGCCAAGGATGCACACTGAAACCTTAGGCGGGTATGTATTAAGGTAATTTACAGCCATCTGTGACAGGAACTCACATTAATAGGTTAAACCTAATGAACAAACTCATGTTTGAGACCAATACGCAGCTATTATTAGTATTGTGCTTAAGCTTAAAGGTTATACAAAGAGTACCTGAGGTCCTCTCAAGAACGTGCCTGGTGAACATCTTTGTCAGTCCTAGCCGAGATAGGTGACAAATAATGTCACAAAGACTGGAAAGCAGCCATCTACAGAAACAGGGGAAGCATCACCGGGCACGGCGATTTCAGATTAGGATTTCAGACTCGCAGCAATATGAATTTTATCTACATCGCATGTGTTGCAGTGCCGACATATGGTGCCGCGTTGACTTAGCGCTGAGCCCGACTTCTCCCAAGCTGTTAGCTTTCATCTCGCTGCTACACCTCTATACAACGAGACGCAGGGGCAGGCGCCGCCCACAGGGCCAATGCCCCTTCCTTCGGCCCGGGAGCGAGGCGGCAACACCCGGGGGAACAGCGGGGAGAACCGCAGCACGGGGGGCTGGGGGAGGCCGAGGCGAACCCCGCAAGGGGAAGCGGTCGCGGGCACGCGCGCAGCCCTCACGTGCACCGCGCGCACGCACCCCGCCCACCCCCGTCCTTCGCCGTGAGCGCGCCCCTCTTCGCCCCGCCCCACGCGCTCCCGGCCCGGCCAATGGGGCGGCGGAGGAGGTTAACCCCTGGCGGGGCGGCGCGGCGCGGGCGGAGCGGAGCAGAGCAGGAAGCGTCGGGGGAAGGAGGCAGGCGGGCGGGCAGGAGGCCGCCGTCGCCGTGCTGAGGAGAAGGAAGGAGGAGGAGGAGGAGGGGAAAGAGAAGGAGGGGGCCGCGAGCCCGGCCGCCGCCTTCACCTCTTCCTTCCGCCCGCTGCGGGGAGCGAGCCGCGCGGGAGCACCTGTCACCGCCGCTAGGGTGAGCGGCGTCCTCCGCGCTGAGAGGCGGCGGCGTGAGAGGCCCGGCGCGGCACGGCGGAGCCTCGGCGGGGGGACGGCGGCGGAGATGATGCCGGTGAGTAGGGAGCGGCCGGGCCCGCCGCGCCGGCCTGGCGCCGGGATACCTCCGGACGGAGCGCGGTGAGGCGCGGCCGCCTGATTCTCTCCGGCCCCGGGGCCCGACGGCTGCCGTCCTGCGCCGGGCCGGGCCTGGAGTGGGGGTGCCGCCGAGCCGCTCTCCTTCAAAGCAGCAGTTTGGTTGCGTTGGCATTTTCTCCCCTCGCGGGCCGATCCCGCGGCCGGGAGACGGCGTCCAGCTCCGGGCGAGCTCGGCTGCGCGTCCGGGAGGAGCTCGGGAGAGGGCCGCCGCGTCTTCCCTGGGAAAAGAGCTTTTATTTACGGCTCCTCCGCAGTGCTCGAGGCGCTGCAGCAGGACGCCGCTCGGGGAGAGCAGTGGGGACGTCTTTCAGGAAATGTCACCGCTCCAACTTTGCTCCGCGGGTGCCGGCAGGAAGTGCGCGGCTCGGTCGGATTGGGATTGCGGGTAGAAGGGCGGCGGGTAGCGCTTGTCGGCAGGCGTCGCGGCGGGCGGGTTAGTGCCGTGTGCCTTCCGACTGCCTTGCTCGGCTACCGGAACGCTCTGCTGGTGCCGGAGGAGGATTTCTTTGAGCTGCGTGCGGTGGAAAACGGCGTCGGAGTTCATTGAGCTGCGGGCGTGCGGGTGGCTGTCGGCGAGTAAAAGCCCAACTGAGACGGCGGTGACAGCCCGGCTCGCGGCAGGGGCTCGGAACTGCGTGAACTGCGCGGCCCTTTCCGAGCCAGGCCATTCTGTGTTATGGTTCTGTGACTGTCAGCGTGCTCGGCTTCCATTGCTACTCTGACCGTGCTTTACATTCATAAAATTCTTACTGAAAACCTATGCCAACGGTAGGCTGGGTCATAACGCGTGGATTTGCTTCCCGTTACTGACTCGTGTGTGAGTCTGAGGCAGATGTCATAACTTCCGTGCTCCAGTGATTGGCTTTCTGTAGAAGTCTATGGTACTGGCTTGCTGTTTTCTTTTTCTTTCTTTACAGCTTGGTGAGCGTCTCTCTGCCGTGCTGTTGCCTTCGTACTTGTAGAAATATAGCAGCTGCTTGTGGTTATTTGAAAGTGTTATAAGATTCTGACTTTTATTATGTTTTTGAAATCTACTTCAAAGTGCTTTCACACCGACAGCTGAGTTTTAATAAAAACAAATTACCTTGCTGCAGTGGTAGTAATGTTGCAGATTAGAGCTTGCTGAGTCTGAATCCTGAAATAATAAATATTTTGCTTTTCTGAAGAGCTTTTAGATGCTCTTATGGGCTGTCTGTCATAAAGTACTCAGGAATATACATATTTAAATGGACACTTTGATAGTGCCATTAGTCTTCCAGTTTCTTATCCCAGCTATTTGATTTGTGGGCTGCAAGGATGGGAAATAAACCATTTACTGGAATAATCAGTGCATAATGTCAGTATGATGTGAACATATGGCTGTAGAACTGGACCAAATGTGGTTGGCTTTTTTTTTTTTTTTTTTAAACTTGAGTTTTCCTATTCTGAAAAGAGAAAAGCTGTGCTGGGATTCCTTGACTTCAAATACAGAGGAACTGTTTTCTCCTTGATCCTGTTGTGTTTCTCCATAATTAGCAGTAGTGTATAATAATGGGAAGAGGACAGACTACAGTACTGCAGGAATTGAACTGTAGCAAGTGGGCATTGCTACAGCTTTGTCAACAAGTTGAAACAAAGTGTTTGGGAAATAATAAACTTCTATTTTTTTGTGACTTGCATTTGAAGTACTTCATTGGGGCCATTTTGGAATCGGTAGTTCTTTAGTGTTCTGTACATTGGCTCTTAAGAATGAAGTAATGTCTGAAGAACAGAAAATGGAATGATAACTTTTTCCTCTTTTCCTGTATTTTGTTGTTAGTGGGGAGTTTTTCACAAGGGAACGGGGTTACTTATGAGAGGCTTTATCAGCTATGATTTCTCCTGCTATCAGGATATCTCTTCCTTAGCATCCTTTCTGTGCTGGTCTGTATTGCTTACTCTACTTTGTTTTTATGAGATAGGAGATCAGGTTTATTGTTGGTTCTGAACACAGTTGGGCTTCCAAGAAGTAATGAGATGCGGGCTGCGCTTTGGTTAATTTTGTGTGAAACTGCAGCTCTTACTGAAAGATAATCCCTGGTGTGTATTTTATGTTAGACTAGAGAATACACAAGTGGATCTTAATATTACAGCGTGCATTAATATCCTTCTAATTGCCACATATGTTATTTGTCTATGAAGACAGATAACACGATAGAAAGAGCACAAACCAAAGATGGATCTACTCGAATGAGGTTTAAATTGAGCCATCTTCCAGGTGAATTAGGAAAAGGTTGTTTGTTTGTCTTTTGTGTGTGTGTGTGTGTGTGTGTGTGTGTGTCAGGTTTTCGTTTTGTTTTTTGGTGTTTGTTTTTTTTTTTTTTTTTTTTTTTTAGCCACCATCCCTGGATGTGTTTAAAAGCTATTTGAATGTGGTGCTCAGGGACATGATTTAGCAGAGGGTTGTTAGGGTAGTATGGTTAGGTCATGGTTGGACTCAATCTTTGAGGTCTTTTCCAACCTGAATGATTCTGTGATAATACATTGAGTCTGAAACCTTTTCCAGCAAGCCCACAAAAGGTGATGCTTATTCTTCATTTAAAACATTTGAAGCACTTTCAAATCAGCATCTGTGGTTGTCTGCCTTAGAAAGGTCACTGCTAATGGTCACTATCTCGTCTAAGTCTAAAGGAAGATGTGTAGCTTTAACAAACTTAGTATTAGCAATCTTCAGTGATGCTGAGATAAAATATATTGTAATGAATTCAGAGTGGTATAAATACCAGCAGTACTGATACCATGCTGAATAAATCTGAACTGACTGGAGAGAGTAATTTGCAAGTTTATCAGCCATTATTAATGGAGTTATTTATTGCGGTGATGCTTAAAGGCTAGTTCACGTTTTTTGGATTGTGTCGCTGTTTTATTAGGGTAATAAAATATGGCCTATTCTGTGGTTTAAAAATAAGCTCGTGGGCTCCACCATGTCCATGAAAAGTGACTTTTAATAGACTGCATTGATAATAGAATGTTTAGAAATATTTGACAGATGCTTCATTAAAATCCACAAGTATATGAGAAAATCTTGAGGAAATTTTCATGTCTATTACTCTCTCTTCAAAATTAACGTAGATGAGGTTGTCCATTGCAGGCATTGGAGAAGACTTATTAGAAAATAAAATGCTGCTCTACCAGATGAAGTTCTGTTAATGTAAGAAATGAAGTTTGGTGTGAAATGCAGGCCTTCTCACTGTGTTATGAAATCCATGCCGTGCTCTTTTGATTCTTCCTATCAGTGTTGCCTAGCAGGGGCTGACCACGTCATGCCAAAGGTTGTCCATACACAGAATAAAGATGGTGCCTTTTGGGAACAGTTTGCTTGCTGCTGAATTCAAAGATCTTTATTCTATCTTAAACATTCAGAGCACTTTAGATCTTGTTTTCAAGGAAGCAGATTCAAAGACTAAAATAATTATTATCAAGAATAGAGATTTGAAGAAGCAAACTGAGTATTGCATAAATAGGGGAGTCGCTGGGAGTGCCTCTGTATCATAATTTGCTTTTACAATTTACCATTCTTAAATATTATCTGAATTAAAAGCTTAGTGCTACCATGCAGTAATTCCTAGCACAGCATAGCTCAGAATATCTCGCCTCTAACTGAATGTGCCAGCCTGGAATGTGCAAGCCCTGGTTAACCTTGGGTTTGTCCAACCCCTGCAAAGTGAGGGTTTTTTCCTTAAATTGGGAAATGTTATGAAGTGATTTAAAATACCGTTAAAAGATCTTTCTGCTACTTCTCTGAGCATCCTTTCCATCAGTTTTGGATCTTGTGTCTCATTGATTCTTAACTTAGAACACTTCTAAGTAAATAAATACCATAACATTTTAATCCTTCAGGTTGTACATTTTTCTAGTTGCTTGGAAGGCTGCCATTAGAATCAGTTAAACTCAGAAGCATGTAAGAATCTGCAGTGTATTCAGGAATATATCCTCGGAGAGCTCTCAGTGTTGTAAGTTTCAAATTTTTAATGAGGGGCAGTAATAAAACTTTATTGTGCAATAACAGACACTGTCATACAGAATCACAGAATCACCCGGGTTGGAAGAGACCTCAAGGATCATGTAGTTCCAACCCCCCTGCCTGGTAGGGCCACCAAACATACACATTCAGATCAGGTTGCCCAGGACCCCGTCCAGCCTGGCCTTGAACACGTCCAAGGACGGGGCATCCACAACCTCCCTGGGCAGCCCGTTCCAGGGCCTTCAGAGGTAGATTTGTGTGTCAGAACTAATAATACCAGTGCATAAATTCTATGACAAATCAAAGGACAAGCGAGTATATGATCTGTTTATTCAAGACAGTTGCTTTGAATCTGAATTTTCAACCGCGTTGCCTGGATTTCAAGTGGCTCTATTCTTTGACTTGAATGTAGCTCAGAGGTGTGTGTAACCTTGCTTGTGGTACAGAGCAGGCGTTTATCGTGACGGGGCAGTAGGATGTTGGGGATGCTGCATTCCTTTCAGGGCTGAGGTTTCACAATGGAGATGAGCTGCACTGACCTTTTCCTCTGACCACTGGCTGTGGCCGCTTCCTCCTTCCTTGCTCCTTGCTGCTCCTTCCCACCGTGTGCTTTGAGCACACTGTACTGCCTTCCTTAGTAACTGCATCCAGGGTGCTATAAATGGAAAAAATAATTGCACTCAAGGGATGCGGAAGGTATAGGTGTGCGTATACATGAATATCCTGCTAGGCTAGTCCATTAAATCAGCTTATTGTGCTGATTTGCTCTCGTTGTCTGTGCTGGTTCAGAAAGGAGCAGGCTGCAGGGGTGAGAGGGCCAGCAGAGGAGGTGGTAGGGAAATGGCCTCTCCCCATTTCAGTACTGCTTGATTCTCTTCTCCACTTGTGTTGGGAAGCTGTACCCAAACATCATCTATTAAATTTTCTTCTCTGGC